GCTACAAATATGTAATGAGAGAAGTTAAAAGGGAACGAAATCGGGTCAATCGAAGTCAGGGAATCGTGATTTTTGACTATTTCAATGCTGATGAATAGTTAGACTGAACTCGTAGGGAGACTGCATAGAAAAGAATAAATTTACACACTTCTCCTCCCCCATATAAATGTATGGAAGTAATGACTGTTGACTTGTGTGATGAAGTACTTGGCAGATTGTACTGTTTCTCCAAGAAATCCGTGCTGAGCCCTGCCGTGACAGATTTCATCAGATCGTGATAAGATTATTGGAGCAAAATTCACTTAATGCCGGACAAAAAATGGTTGCTGGTAGCAATCTTAATTTTCTGTATTAAATAGAGTTCTCGATCTCATTCAGGCACCCCATGCTTTGGTTGGCTACTTACTAAAGATAGGGTACAACTTAGGATTATTGAAACAATAAGAGTTGCTTGGCGCATGAACGATCAAGATTTATTTGTAGCCACTTATAGCAAATCTTCTGATTTTGGCGGCTCTAAGTAAGATATTATTATAGTTTTATTTTGCTTTTGGGTAAGCAAGAGACAGGAAGGTAATTTTTGTCTTTAAATTTGAATGTTGCGTAGATGTTCCTACCATTTCGGTAGGCTCCAGGTAGGGCAATACAGGAGTATAGAGTTAACGTTCAATCAGCATGCTGATAGTACAAACAGTCAGAAGTTAGTCAAATATTCAATAATAAGGTTGACGAATTCCGTAAGGAACATTATTTGAATAAGCTGTATGATCGTTCCTAACTATAATTTTGACGAATAACTAAATAGCTCATTTAGAGTTTGGATTGGATGAATTGGTAATTCTGGTATTTAAATTATTTGTTGAATATACATGAAGATACTTTGCCGTTTGGCCCACCTCAAGGGGAGACTAGAGGAGTTACTTAGCTGATGAATATAATAGATATTATGATTGAATTCCTAATAAAGTCAGAAATTGGCGATAAATTACGCTTTCTGAATATCGTAGTTTGAAGAGTTGTCCATAAATTAGGTAGGTGGTGGTCTAGTATTTTTGGTGATTGTTAATTAATAATGGTTTCTGGCTCTGACGAAATCCGTAACATGATGGACGAAAGCTTAACACGGAGTTATCGGGGGCGTAGGACGGTGAACCGAGGTCTTCTTCTCATAATTCAAAAGACAAAAGTCCAGGGCAACCCTCCTTTGGTATACGGTGAAGCCAATCTATGAATCGCTTCCACTCGCCTTGTCAAACGAAATGAAAGGTATGCTCGTAACAATATAACAACATTTCTCGATCACGTTTTCCCACTCTCAAGATCATGTTGTCACGGGGTTTTGTGATCACGCTTTAGTTTATATCTTGAGGAGACTTGTAAATCCAGTTTCTCCTATTGCTAAACGGCCTGCTACCTTTTATGCATTCAGAAATCGGAGGTTACTAAGCAGATGGTCAGTACAAAAGATCTATACAACTCGACATTTTGCAGGAAATGGCGACGTCACAGCTAAGAAGAAGATAAGGGCGTCGATAGAAATTGATAAAATAACTAGCAGCATGAATAGGAGGAAGGAGAGAAGCTCAGTAAAGAATTATATCTGGCTTTTAAAGAAAAGTTATGGAAGAGAGAGAGCGCGCACTTCGAACCACCAAATAAGGGAAAGATGCTTAATTAATCTAAAATCTAGTTTAGGGCTTTAGCATATCAGCTGACTGATAAGCCCTGCATGCAGACACGCACATACAACCACAAGCCTCGACACACGTTACCACTGCAGGATCACGCACTAATGTATGTATATAAGGAAATAGCTGTGACCATTTCCACATGCTCTTCATTTATCTACAAGCATCTAAGATAAGGGGATAGTCAGGCGGATCGTGGGATTCCTCATTAAGACCGCAAAACTAGGGATAAAAAGTAGTGGTTTATTTTTCTGAAATATGAAACCTTGGCATGCATTCATCAGGGTCACGGGACGATGTACCGATATCTTCATCGAACAACTCTACAGACATTCTTCTTCTGGTAGAAGTAGCGCCAATTTAAGAATCATCTTTATCCACAATCTCAAACGAAATGATGGCCACAACTATTCAAATCAAAGGATACATGAATCAGTAAAATCCAATCTCCTTCGTTGATTTCAACAAGGCCGCTCCACGGTTGGACTATTCACTACCCGTACACAATTTCGAATGGATTATGGAAGTTTATCCATTGATTTAGAATAAACTCTCGAGGAGCTCAAATAGTTCAGCATGCAAGGATCTATCAGATTTTCACTGGAATTGTACGATAAGGAATATTTTTGGGGCTGGTTTACAGTTCAACTTCATCTAAAAATGTGAGTCAATCATTTGCTACTTGCTACTTCGTTAATGATCTGAGTTATTAATTCACATAAAATGTCCGGATAAAGTGGTAAGAATAACGACGACAAGGAAACAGAAAATCATTACTTGCAATTAGATAGGCTGTTACTTGTATGAAAACTTATAAAACGTTGAAAGCCGTAGCCTGCGGGCAAAGTTAATTGCCCGAAGTATCTTCCTTTTGAACAAGTGAAAACAAGATC